TATGGTCGCTATGCAAAAGCTTGCCCGATTCACGAGGCATAGCAACAGTGTCTTTCGTCTGGGGAAATCACATTGTTATGTTTATGTGCCACCAGATAACTCAGTGTACCAGATTTTATTCAAATTTAACTCGCAAAGGTCTATCCCTGGTAAGCTTCACTAAGGTTATTAAAATTCGAGAGGCACTAAATGCAGTGCAACTTTCCACAAATTATGTCTTTCAAGTTATTCAGCTTTCCAATTTCCCACAGTCTTAACATACCATCATCCGATTTAAACTGAGTCAGTGCTTGTCCATTATTACGTCACGTCAGTACACGTTTGGGAAATAGTTCCTTCTGGTCTTTTCTCAAAATAGAGACAAATATTCAGGGCGCATTTGGATGGTCCGGCAACAAAGCCTACCTACAGGAAGGCATTTGGCACGCGATCTCCTGTCCGACTTTCCGCACTGGGGAGGAGCTTGATGCCGTTTTGTGGTACAAGGGGTCGGACATTAATGACCCTTCGAAGGTCTTTCTGATGAGCCGTAACTTTCTCATTGGAACGCACAAGGACACCGCTGCTAGTATGAGATACGCCCTGAGTCCGGATGTCAGTTTGATCATCAAAGGGGTTGAACCGACTGATAAAGGTCGGTACCTGTGCCAAGTTGTCCCAACGAAGACCATCTACAGACACAGGGCTGTAGATCTTGATGTCTTTGGTAAGATTTTGTGTTGTTTTCATATTTTAAATCATATTCAAGGAGAGCGATATTGTTCAGCAAAAGCTGTTTTGAAAATAGCATTAAAACAAAAAAGAACGGAGAAAACTATGAAAACGAGTTTTCTGTGAAAACATACATCAAAAAAGCTAAACATAATAACAACCACTGATAAGAATTCATGTAAAGTAAGGTTAGATTTTTCTAATGGTGCTTTACTAGTGAATGTCCTTAAAAAATCAGGTACAAATTCTTTGGATAAGACCTACTTGAAGTATTAACAATGCTACTTTCGTTGGCCTTTCGTAAGATTGTTGGAACATTTTCAATATGTATATTACTTGCAACAGAAAATATACGTTTACTCCTCCAAGCCTTTCATCACCATGGAAACAGAAGTGGAGTAGTAAATAGTACTACTCGTTGGAAACTTTATTCGGCTCATAAAATTTGCAGGTTTGATGTTGGATGCACCAGCAACATAATAAAGGAAATACCTGTAGGCTGTCGCCTCTCTCACACTGGTTGCCGTTTATATTTTTCCTTCCAAAGTCAAGTGAATGAAGATTGTGATGGGACAGGAGCATGTAATACCTCGTCTTGTACAGAAAAAACAAAATACCGAGTCTCATTTTACAAGAGAAACAGCAGAAAATGCCTTTCTTTCACCTATAAACATAAGCCACCACCTGATCACTAACTGCATTCCACCATTATCATTTTTAAAACGATATTTTGAAATTCTAACACTCCTCACGTACGATCACTGCAGATAATTCCTTCCCAGCCAGAGTCAGTGAGGCATCGTCCTCTGCTGTCATCCAGGGAGGACGCAGACAGACGCTACCGTGCCAGTGCGCATCACAGTCACCCGACGCACCATCCGTAGTGTATTGGTCAATGGGAGAGGGCGTCACTACAGATACAGAGATCATTGGTGCACGTTTCTCTGATGGCGTCACCCTGCAGATCCAACATGGCGCTGATTATAGCATTGGTAGCGATGCTTCTCTTACAGTCAACTCCCTGAATGATGTACATGATAACCAGCGATTCTGGTGTCACGTATTTCAGTCAGATGAGACTCTCAGAAATTGCTACACCGATATCGAAATAAAAGGTAATTCATATAGGTGTTAAGAGGAGCAACGTTAAACATTTTTCGGTCAATTAAACGTTTTGCATACACTGACAGAAACCCATCGTAATTTCCAAATTTTTGGCAGATGGGCTAAATCCCTCTGGTGATGCTCTGAGGGCATCTGAAACATCATTCTACCTCCAAAAAGGACTGCGTCAGGTTCTTCCTTGCAACTGGAAGCCAGGCACTGCAACCTGTGCGATTCAGTGGCTGAAGATCGACACCTCAGATCGACTTCTCCTCAGTTACAACTTGTCGACAAATCAGGTGGAAGCGGACACAGGTTTTAATTTGACCAGTGATTTTGGTCTGGCTATCGCTTCAACCGAGCGCGACCATGCTGGGAAGTACAAATGTAGCGTTGTGTATACTGAGAGTGTTGCAGAAATCGAAGTCCGTGTAATAGGTAAGTGGTTGCAGTGCTCAAAAAGTACTCCTTCCATGGAGGTACTACATGATGGGCCCGTGCTAGGGGAATTTGTTTTTTGTAATTCCCTGGTAATGGCCTTCTGATCCTAAATCATATAGAGGCTTCAAGGAACGAAGCTTTTCGTAGCTGCATTCAGTTGTAATTCTAATCTACATGTATTAATTAACCCGCTTCCTTAACAGCTGCTAATTTTAAAATCCCAAATTACAAAGGAGATGGTCAGGTTTTCATTGACCGTTCAGTCAATCTTCTGGAATGTACCTAGACCAAGACACAAGCCCATGCTAAATACAAGCAATGCTTCAAGTTACGCACCCGATCTAGAAAATCACATGAACGTGTGCACAAACTAACTGTGGGCAACAAGGGAAAATTGACCCCTTAGTGAACCCTAACAATCAAACTTTATTTTCTTTCTTTTCTCTCATGCACTCAGGTGATAACTTTCCTCTGGACGATGGCAGACCAATTTCAGGTGTCTCTGAAACCTTTGAACCTGGTAAAGAAATGACACTAGCTTGCCTTGCCAGACCAAACATCTCGGTGAATGAAGCCATTGTCTTCTGGTCGTTCGGAAAACCTGACAAAAAGACAGCTACTTTTATTGGCAAGCTGAATCTACCAGAAGGCACCAAGAAACTGTCCGATCTTGGAGATAGAGGATGCTTCGACATAACACCTGAAGGTTCCCTGATCCTCAACAACTGCTTCCAAGATGGAGACGTCAGATACTGGTGCCACGTATTTTATGAAAAGCATGATTTGGTCAGATCGTACCAAGATTTGGTAACAAAAGGTACGTGACTTGTTTTAAACTCTTGAAGTTTGTGTTTCAATTTAAACATATTAATAGCTAGAATGATGTTGTCATCGGGTCTAATGTCCTTCCAATTTTCCATTCTGCAGAAATATTGAATCTCTCGGATATTTGTAGGGCTCTTTTTTATTTGATTCCAACCTAGATCCTTCTTTTGTTGTCGTCGTCGCCCTTGTGTGCAGTTGTATCCCAGTGGTTATTGTGGCAGCTCTTTGTGTCTTGTGTTGGAGGCGGAAACCCAGACCACACTTAAGACAAGGGCAAAGGCCTACTGGTTATGAAAGCATTCAGTTGGAGGGTACGTAGAGCCTACAGATTTATTTAATTTAACCAATGAGACTGTGGTTATATTTCAGCTCAACGGTCAGGAATAGAGCCATTCGTCCTCTCTCATAAAATTAAATTTAATGGATACATTTTTATTACCCTCATCGATAAAACGACCTTTTCATTTCTCATTTTGTCGACTGAACCAAGAATTCGTACTCTCAAAACAAACCATTGGCAAAACTTACTGTGCAGTGAAACGAAAGACCGGTACTTTCAAGACATTTTTAAGGTAGACTTAAACATGTACATTCATTGTCTCTTGAATTCTCTTTTTTCAGGGCATGACGACAGTGACTCAAACATAGATGTAGCGCCGCTGGTCGAAAAAATAAAATCACTAGTGAAAAGGGAAATGAGCAGACTTCCTGTTACGCCCTGGACATGGGATGACGTAGACAAGGCAGAAATGGATGATGTTTATACCCCTCCAGACCTATTTGCCAATGTTCACATGCAGGGAGGCTGGCTAAGGTATAAGCTAGATTCCGAATCTGAACTATTTACTGATGGCATATCCAAGTTGGCAAGCAATCATGTTCTAATTCAAGGCGTTTCAGGTAGTGGTAAGACGACTTTCTTGCACAAAGTGGCAACTGACTGGGCCTTGGGGAGAGAGCAGGCGCTGCTTGGACGGAAGAAATGTGTCTTTGTTTTGCCTGCAAAGATCCTCGGGACAGCAAAAAGTCTCGGAGAGGCCGTTGCTCAGTACCTCCTTCCAAAGGGTGAAGACTTTTCGGCAAAATTAATTAATGAATATTGCTCACATAATGCCAGGGACGTGGCTACCCTCGTGGATGGTTGTGAGAATAAAAAGGACATACAACTTGTTCTTGTTACCATAAAAGATCAGATCTCTTCAGGAATGCACGTAGTAATGACTACAAGGGACACGGGGCTTGCGGATGAAATGTGCCTAAAGGAAAACCTGCGGTATGTTATACTGGCAGGTTTTTCAAAAGAAAATGCTGAGTTTTATGTTAAACAATTACTAGTAAAATCCAAAACAGCCACCCGAACTCAGATAGGAAGCAAAAGCAGTAACACAATCAATGTACGCTCACAATCTACCGATCGGGACATCATAGAAAACAAGAAGCCTGAAAATGAAGATGGTTCAAATGTGGATAAAGCAAGACAGAGTGGTGAAACGTCACCGCTGATAACGACAGAAGAACAATCACTATCAGGCATCAAGGATGCAAAAATATCCGAATGCAGTGACAAAAGTCTTAAACGACAAACTAGTAAGACAGGTGAACCATCTCAGGATCAGTTTGCGTATATGGATCACAAACAGGACAGTGACAACGATAATGGAAGATCTCATGCTGACAAGCTGGAAAAAGCACCAACAAGTCCGAGGACTGAAGGATCACAACAGAGCCATTACCCAATAGATGTATACAGCACGCTTAACTATGGAGATGTATTTCACAAACTGGTAGAATATGTGAAAGTTGACTTTCCCACCCCCGATGTAGCGTGTTTGCCACTTTACCTCTCAGTTTTTTGTCGGCTGTCATTTTGGACAAACGGCATTGCTTTCCAGGACGGTGCTTCCAGTGGTGTGCTGTTCTTGCGTCTGTTGAAGTGCATTGTCGATAAGGGAAAATCTGATCCGCTGCCAAGAAACCATGACGGTATTAAAACTGCGTTCAGTCGTGAACAGTTAGGCGTAATTGATAAACTTGGCCAAGTGGTTGTTGGAAATATGGAGGACCTTGAACAACCGACAGCTTTCAAAGATGCAGATTTTGTAGAATCTGGTAGAGGGAGAAAGAATGTGCTTGACATGGCTGAGCAAGTGGGACTTCTCTGCCCTGTCCAAGTAATTCCTGAAAAATCTTGTGAACACAGTGAACAAGGGGATATTGTTCCCTCGATACCAGGAGATGGAGCCGCTACTTTTGTGTTAGAAGCACTGCAAGAATTATGCGCTGGTATTCACTTAAATCAAAACAGCGAATCAAGATCCTCACTGGTTCGAAAGATGTTAAGCAAGAAACTCTGTGATCAAAAACTGAATAACATAGTTCTCTTTGCCAGTCAGACCAAAGATTGTGCTAAATCCACTTTGTCAGAAATGAAATCCGAACTTGCAAAGTCCCCACCTGCACCAAACGCTTTTACAGATGTGCTAAAGCACCAGAAGACTGTTGAGCTTGCCATGAAACTGATTTTTGAAAGCAAGTTGGACTGCGCCTCCCAAAAAAAGCTTCATTTTGTCTGTGTCAGTGGTAACCTCCGCCTGATGGGTATTTCCAGCCACAAGATTAAGCTCCTCTCGTATTTTCTCATGCAAGTAGACAGCTCCACCTTGAAATCGATAGAGTTGTTCCACGTTGGCAAGCACACCTGGACTGAACTTGAGGAATACTTTGACCACTTTGCACCGGGAGTCTTGGACAAAGTTAGGAAGTTGTACAATAAAGACCGTGACACCAAGCTGGACCCAGAAACATCCAAACAGTTGCGTGGCAGAATAGCTTCTTGCTGCAAAGACATGCCTGAGTTTCCTTCTGACTGGTCAGACGACAATATCCTTCATACCGTGCAGTCGTCTGGTCTACAGGAGCTCTTGGAGTCACAGTCTGGTGAATGTCACTCATCTAGTGCATCATCAGAGCTAACTCAATCTCTTCATCGTCACTCGAAGCTTGAAAGTCTCGTTCTCATAGGGACAATTCTTAGTTCTAATGACATGGTTACTTTGTTCGACAAAATGAACAAACTGAAGAATATTCGGAAACTAGATTTTCGCTTGAATAAGGAGTTTGACGATGAGGCTTTCTTCAAGGTGGCAAAAGCTCTAAATGGTTGCGAAACGTTGACTGACCTTAGACTTTCTCTGTACAAAGTGACCTTGAAAGGGTTTGACAAAGTCCAGAAGGAAATCAGTACTTGGGGAAGGCTTGAAACCCTGTATCTACTGCATGGTTCTCCGGCCGAAAAATTTGTTGGGTTCCTGTCAGAAACTTTGGGGCATCTTTGTGGAATCACCTGTCTTCATATATCATGCTTACATCCACCAGAAAAATTAACAGAAACTACAGCAGACACGTTTCGAAGTACCATGGAGAAGTCAAATATCGTGCCGTCCCTTAAGGAGCTTGTCATTGTAAATATCGAGGAACTGAAAGAGTGGTGTGAATCACTGAGGCTGCCAAAGATGACACAAGCCTCGTCACTGAAAGTTAGGCCAGCGGATCAGACACTGACTCAAACTGACAAGGATGATCAAAGACTCTACGAAACTGGGGTCGATACACAGACGTTACCATATATGTGTAGCATGCAATAGGAAAAGGGTGCGGTTTGCTATTCTTTCTTTTAGTCTCAGTGTTATTCTGACAAGAGAAACGCTTGCATATGTAAGCATATAATCTGCATTGCGAGGAAACTGCATACAGATTTATTCAGTTTTATTCAGCCATTTTGGCCTGACGCCACTTGTTTTATTGCTGGTTTATTTCGTTAAAGCCACATTTCAACAGTTGGCTGAATTGCATGTTTTACTTTAATTAAGAGCACACTTTGACAACTCACAAAGCTAGCCTATTCCACAGAAAATCAACAATGGAGTTGTCAGTTTAACAGGCTTTATATTAAGTACAGCACATTAAGTTGTTTGGGTGTTTGCACTCCACTGCTGTGTTGGAAACCTTCTGGGGCAGTCAGCAAGGATGCACCTGTGTGTCCTCCTAACCAGATGATAGTCTCCTTCATTGCGTGCAGTCGTCTAGTGTGCAGGAGCTCAGTGAGTCACCGTCTGGCGATTGTCAGTCATGCATTGCAGCAAGTGCCCTAGCTCGCTGCAGCAGTAGCAGCAACAACAAAAACCCAAAGCACGTCATGTCATACCGCACCACGCTACACAACGCAACGCAGTGCGACCTAACACAACACACACGCAAAACAATTTTTCTTAGGGTGAGGAAAACCTACAGCTTGTTTGTTTCTGTTTATTCAGAGACTATACAGAGACTACACCAAATGCCTTTGTAATTAGTGCTTGTACATTTTGGCCTAAATTGTTCGCATGAATGGTTAAAGTTTTAAACGATTACATATGTTGCAAGAAAATGTGGTACTCTCTTCATACAAGCTTTATCTGATTTAAAAATAATTCAATAATGTAATTAATGATAACCTATAGTTACTCTTATTTCCAGTTGTAACAAATAGTTCGAGATATCGAAAGTGTTAAACAGTTAATAAGCATTGGAATAATTATAGAAGTGTAATAAGATTAAACATAAGTCTTATCTACAATTTATCCACGGTGAAATGAGTTACACTTGGAGATGAATAATTGAAATGTACATTACGTTTTCACTTAAGATCAGGTCAGCCATACCAGGTATTCGTTGTATTATGAATTAGAAACTGTTTGCTTGTATATATAAATTGTAACCAGCTTTTCATCTGAAACAGATTAAAAAGAAATACCTATAAATATAATGCAGCCGTAAGTGATTTCAAGCAGTGGACACAAGTTGTTCTCCAAATGAATGCCACACAACATGCTGTAGTGCGCGTCAAACAGATGACGGAGGTTTGTGCACTTTTGCCCGACGCAAATCACTGCTGTTGGGTCAAAGCGTAATGGGATGGAGCTGATTAATGTTTAAACATTCCTTTCTGTTTTGCGTTTTCCTTTTTCTGCCAAGAGGACGGAGTTTTAAGAATGCAATTTGTGGAAAGTTTTCCTTGCTCTTTGTTCACTTTCATCACTTTTGGAAAAGATACCCTCTTTCAGACGCCGAATGTAGTTTTGCCATTTTTTGGCCAATGCCAGGGATTTTTACCCTGCTTACCACAGTTTCATTTTTTTAGCATCTGTATTGTGATGATATAGTCAAATAAACACACTGTACACTAAATCTAATGTGTCCTGTTTTCATTTTCTTGATAAACAGTGCCACGATGAGCTACAGCAGAATCAATTACAAGCAAAGGTATAGGGTGCCCTCAGGATCGAGTATTCCTGTAGTTGATAAACATGTTTTGTATAGCAAAAGACACATGGGAGGCAGAATCAGTTGATCATTTCATTGAGGTCCATGGACATCATTTGCTCGTGCCCAATAAAGTGCAGTCTGTAATGTCAGAATATCCGGACTCAACCATGTAAGACATGAGCAGAGCATGCACTGTACAGCATTCTTAAATCAGACATAATGCCTTTTGTGGGTGTGTGCTGCATAACGTGATTTCACAGCATAACGCTGAATGTTCTGACGACTGAATATGTGTAGACCTTTGAGCATCTTGATCGCGGACGCAGTCATCTATCGTAAAGACTTCATTCCGCCCTGATTCAGAATAAACTTTGTCTACATCACAATGATTTGCAAATGTTCCTTTGATTGTGAGGAGATTACTTGTCAGACGAGCACTTTTATTCCTTAGACCGGTTTCTAAATCATATTCCACATAAATTCTAACAAATTGTACATTGGTAAATAGTGGGCTGCAAAGTGGCATTACCGTAAAACCAAGGGAGAATTAAAAGCTTACGAGGGAAAACCTCATGTTCCTTAATGATGATTACCCATATACGGGCCTACACAATCAACGAAACAACAGTAATCACGTCAAGCTAACCGGCGTTACTTCCCTACGATATTGAGTTATTTCGCAAAAACTGTTATTTCATAATACTTGTTTTGCAATAAAAATATATGTACTTCAAAACTTGGTACGATTGGGCTTCCATATTATTACGTGACTTTTGATTGGCGGAAGTTACGCAAATGACTTTCAACATGCTTCGCGTTCAAAAACTACGTTTTCTTATTTAAACATGGGCCAACATCAGAGTGAACATGTTTTACGGATGCTCATAGCTAAGTACATGCAAATGTCCTTCTATAACCCGGGCAGTCGAGGGAAAATCAATGAAAAACATAACAAATGAAAACAAAATATGCAAGATTTTCCTGCGAGAACAATTCGTTCGGTGATAGCGCCCTCTAACAGTGTATGTATGTGGTTCGTGTCGCGGAATAACTACTGAAAGGTTTTGGAACTAAGACTAGGTATGCAGAAGTGTCATTGACGGTTTTCACAACGGCCTATGCAGACACGTCTACTTAGTTCTCTCATTATATTATTAAAGCGTTCCTGGAAATTGCGCTTGGGTGTGTCCAGTACTGACAATGTGCACAGCTCTAGTATACCGCATTGCCATGACAGACTCCGACAGCAATTTGCCTGCCTCTCGAAACCCGATACCAGTTTCTCTGCTCACGGCAAAGGACATATCGTCGATTGTTAACGAGGCTGTGGGCAGTGTAAAACAGTATATCGACGGAAAGTTGAATGCTCAAAAAGCCGGAAGGGATAGAGGCTAAGGTGAAGGTTCAAATCTAAAGGTAACAAAATACAGCATGAGTTTAACTCAAGAGCTCTTAATCTAGAGGATGCTCTGGTACGTGTGAAAGAAGCAAGACAAGAGACCGCCACTCAATCAATCGAAACGGCCATAGCCGATATTACAAAAAGAAATAAGCCTATTAGTATCACAGACAAGTCCAATGATGGAGTCATCAACGTGTTTCTCTCCGACGAACTGGCAAGCAACAGCAAAGACGAAAAACGTATCTGCTCCGCCTAAGCAAGCTGCATCGAAGAGGAAGAAGAGCCGTGCTACACGATCAAAGCCTTACCAAGCCCAGCGTCACCCGAATGAGTCGTCGCCATCAGCAGTCGAATGGATTCACGCCTGGGTTTGGGGTGGGTCCCACTCGCTGACCGTCACCATCAGGGAGATGCTTCAGGTGCGGCTTCCGCTGTCGTTATCGAAAAATTGTTCAGCAGCCGCCAAGCAAACCAGCTCCGGCAAAGATGGTTGCACACAGCGCGCCTGTCCACCGGGTATGGCGTGAATTAAGACAGTAGTAGGCCTACCAGGCACAGAATACGGCATGTTCGATAACGGCGGGATACAACTTAGTGTAACGAAACACGAGCAGACATGGGATGCCACTGGCAGTTAAAATCATAAATAATTAATGCCTGCGTGGACCAATCAGCGGTGTGTAGAGCGCTAGGTTTGGACGCTTGCGGCGTGCTTAGGGCGATCGAGCACA